TAATGCCATGGACATGGATGACAGCAAAGGCATACTTACTCTCTGTATAAATGTTTATTCATTTATCCTTTCCCCAGTATAGGGTTTGAGTGAGAGCAATCAACTACATCTTTAGACCGATGTGCCCTGTGGCAAGGCTTGTGTCCATATGGTGACCGATTGGGTAGTTATTACTGCCCCAGTTGATGGCCACTCTGCTTCCATAGGTAAGCAAATCAGCCTCTGCCTCAGGCAGGTGAGTGTCCATGAAGTCTGGGAGACTGGCCTGAAAAATGTCCAGCAAGTCCTCACAGTCATGAAGAGGCACCTTAGACTGGCTAACATAGATCAGAAAAATGGGTTAATCAAGATATGAAAGTTAGCCAGTGAGAGGCTAGAGCTAATGGGCCAATCAGCTTATAATTTATAATTTATGGAGACCTATGTGTGATTTTATTTGGGACTAAACAGCCAGGGAGCCAGGCGGGACAGAAACAACAACAAACAGGCCCCCCCACTCCATGTTACAGATTGGCGCCCATGTGGATAACTGCATCCACAGAAAGCCTGAAAAATGTGGTAAAGACTAGAGTAAAGCATTTCAGGTTTTCAGCTGTAGCAGAAAAAAAGCTGCTGTTTAAAAATGCCGGCTTTCTGGGCCTTCCTGCCAGGGAAAACTCTCTTTCAAGCAGGCAATCCCGATGGATACACTGTTGAAGCTTGCTTCCTGGCAAGGACCTTAAAAACACCATAGAGTTGTGGCAAAAACTTCTCCATATTCCTTAGCACATTAAAGACCCATGTGGGCAGAAAAAGAGAGATATACAGTAAAGAGAGATTCAAAGAGTAAGAAAACCTCTAAATGTTTTACAGTGTATTAGAAATATATACAGGCTAAAGGTTAAAGTTCTCAGAGTTAAGAAAAAAAGAAAGAGAGTAGCCTGGGAGGCAGAGACAGACAGATCTCTGTGAATTCAAAGATAGCCTGGTTTACAGAGGGAGTTCCAGGACAAAGATATACAGAAAACCTGTCTCAAAAAGCCAAAAGTTAAAAGTAAAAATAAAAGAAATAGAGGTTAAAATAAAGCCATGTAAAGATGAAAAATACACAGAGAATCTTGATACTGTATGTTATTATGCTCTCTTTGAATTGTTTGAATGCTGAGGAAGGAGCAACAGCTGCTAAAAGATATTTGCTTATAAATGCTGGAGAATTAATCCAAGATAGATATTTTGAAAATACCTCCGCTTCAAAATTGAAGTCAAAAGGTATGTTACTTTGGAGAAGAGAGTTTGCTTTTGTTCCCACAGAAAATGAGAGATTGTGGATTTATTCAGAGTTAAGAAAAATCAGCTTTGTTCAAGGAAGACCACCTGAGAAATCTCCAACAGGAATAGATGGCCCAGATGTCTGAGTTCTTCATCCAGAACAGGTTCAAGATTGCTGCCTGAGATGATCAAGACTCACAGGATACTTCAGTCAGGACTTGATCATAACTCTAAATTTTCTTTAGGTTCCCATAAGATTATCAGCTCCCTCAACCAGCTGGAAGTAGCCTGGAATACTACACCCACATTCCCAAAATATGGACTATGGGTATTTTCCTTTTTTAAAAAAAAAAAAGAGGGGGAAGTGGTACAGGAAAATTGTCTGTATTCTGTCAATCATGTTATAAATAAACGCTGATTGGCCAGGTAGGAAATATAGGCAGGAAACCCAGACAGGAAGTAGAAATGATGTAATGAGAACAGGAGAATTCTGGGAAGGAGGAAACTGATTCCTCCCACTCCTGCCCAGGTCACCAAAGCAGCAGGATGTGATCTGACCATTCAAAAAGGTACTGAGCCACATGGCTAACATAAGTCAGAAAAATGGGTTAATCAAGATGTGAGAGTTAGCCAGTGAGAGGCTAGAGCTAATGGGCCAATCAGCTTACAATTTATGGAGACGTATGTGTGATTTTCTTTGGGGCTAAACAGTTGTGGGGAACTGGGCGTGGCAGAAAACCCCAACAAACAAGCAGGCCTGCCCACTCATGTTACATTAGACATCAGTTTTATGGGGATGAAAATGTAATATGTTTTAGGATAATGTAAGCTATTAATATTAAAGTAGTTTGTATTAAATAATTATACCTTTGATTATCTGATTGTATAATATATGATAATAACATTTTGTCTCCCACATATTTCTTTGTAATTACATAACAAGTAAATTTTTTTCAACTGAGAAAAAAATCTTCTGGTTATTCTGTCAGTATTTATTAACTTATAAGACTGGACAGGCAATTGATTCTGATATGAAACAAAATTGTGATGTTCTATGGAATTTATTTATAAAATTCTGTAATAAAGTTATAAAACCTTTTATTTTGTTTAAAAAAAGAAAAGAAAATGTATAAGAATAAAAGTGAGGCAGGACTGATCAAGTAACAGACTCTTGATTTTGAGTAATATAGGAATTTGCCATTCATTGGAGGTTTCCACAGCATGGGAAGCCATTAGAGTCAGCTTATCAGCTTCCCTTACTAGTATAGTGGTTGTGAGTATGGTGTACAAACAGGATGACCAATGGGAGGCCATGCTTGAACAGATATGCTACAGGTCTCTGCCAAGGTTCTGGGTCTGAGTTGAAATGCCCTTTGCAGTGCCTCAAATTTCATGGATGAAAAGGTGGAACAATTTAGTAAAATCTACTAGAGTCAGATCTGGGACTCTAGTTAGAACCTGCTTTAGTTCTTGAAAACCTTGTTCCTCTCTTTCAGCCCAATTCAAAGGCTGATCTTCTGCAGTGGAAGAATAAAGGGGCTGGGCTATTTTAGCAAACCTAGCAATGCGGAGACTGCAATATTCTTTCACCTCCAAGAATTCACATGCCTGTTTCTTGGTTTGGGGAGTGGGATCCAGAGAATAGCTTTTTTTCTGGACAACATTGAGAGTTCTCCTACCTTGAAAAAGCTTTTATCCAAGAGAGGAGACCTCTCCCTTGCAGGGCTAAGCCCTTTTTTTTTTTTGATGGAGATATGATATCCCAATGTCTAGTATAAGTGCTGCCAGTAAAAAATCACTTACATACTGAAGCACAGTAGAGTCAGGGCTTGGCACCCTGGATCCTGTTAAGTCTCTTTGTATACTTTTTGAACCCTTAAGGTAGGTAATTAGTCCAGGGTAACTAATTAGTCTCATTGGACATTGGATCATCAATTCAAAGGCAAATAGCGCTGTCTCACTGGTGCCAGAGGAATGAATAAACATCCTTAGTGTCTAGGACCATATAGACTGGTACTCTGGCAGGTAGGAGACTGAGCAGAGTATATATATATATATATATATATATATATATATATATATATATGAATTTGGAACAGTAGAGTGAATGACTTCAGTCTGCTTATATATCTCCCAGTGTTATAAGGAAGCCTCTTGTTAGTTTCTAGCTACTTAGCCCCGAAATCATCACACAGAAACTGTATTAATTAAATCACTGCTTGGCCCATTAGCTCTAGTTTCTTTCTTTCTTTCTTTCTTTCTTTCTTTCTTTCTTTCTTTCTTTCTTTTTTTTTTGATTTTTTGAGACAGGGTTTCTCCGTAGCTTTTTGGTTCCTGTCCTGGAACTAGCTCTTGTAGTCCAGGCTGGCCTCGAACTCACAGAGATCCGCCTGCCTCTGCCTCCCAAGTGCTGGGATTAAAGGCATGCGCCACCACTGCCCGGCTCTAGCTCTAGTTTCTTATTTGCTAACTCTTGCATCTTAATTTAACCCATGTCCATTAATCTGGGCATCACCACGAGGTCATGGCCTACCAGCGAAGTTTCATTGTGTCTCTCTCTGGCGGCAGCTCCATGGCTTCTCTTGACTCTACATCCTTTCTCCCAGCATTCAGTTTAGTTTTCCCCAGCTATCTAAGTTCTGCCCTTCTATAGGTCCAAAGCAGTTCTTTATTAATCAGTGGTAGTCACAGCATACAGAGGGGGAATACTACATCATCCCAGAGATTAGGGACTGACTAGTAATCGGAGATCTTTGGTTTACATACAGGCAAGAAAGGTATATTCCAAGCTGACTAGCATGGGACAGGGCTGTTAGCTTCTTATAGCCTCTTAATATGAGAGTAATTTCCAGTCAAGTCTTTTGGTTTATGAGATATTACCAGACCTTATATTTGTGGCTGCAGCCATGAGACTTACCATGGTTAGTGGGTCACCAGTGTGCTACCTTAAGAAACTGTCATTGCAAGTCCTGGAGCAGGATCCCTGGTTCTGGACTTGTTTCATCTGTAGAATTCTGGATAAGCTAGAAGACAGTCTGCAGGGAGAAGGGCAATTAAGTTGGTAGAAGCTGTAAAGGAAGGTTCAGCTTTTGAGGAGTAAAGGTCATGATGGTATCTTATTTTCAAAGATCTCTGCCTAGAAGGGAGAAAGGACAACCTGGAACTATCATAAAGGACTGAGTCATCAGTCTATTGCTCAGGTGTTCTTTCAGATGTGAGGTGATCATAGTTAATCAGTCCTGTGTCTTCCTGTACTGCCTTCTTGGACCTGCTTCCTCCACTGTTCTTTTTATTTGCAACCAGCCACGATGGAGTTTTAAAAAACAGAAACCTCTGTCCCAGTGTCTAATAAAAGCTTAACTTGATGATTTTCTATTGACACAGTAATCAAGGGATCTTGGATGCCTAAGAGGGTAGAGCCTCTGGTCCATCATTCTAATTCACTATCCATCTCCCTTGTGGTCAAGAGGGTCATTGCTTGCCTGGGATGATTAAGGCTGGGATGGTTAAGGCTGGGATGGTTTAGGATGGTTAAGGGATTCTTTCAGTGTCCCTTTTCCTTACAATAAGTACATTGATCTGATGGAGGAAGGTCATTGGCTAATAAAGGAACTGCCTTGGCCCATTTTATTGGTTAGAAGATAGGTGGGAGGAGTAAACAGAACAGAAAGCTGGGAGGAAGAGGAAGTGAGCTCAGACTCCACAGCTCTCCTCTCGGGAGCAGACGCCTCAGAGAGACGCCATGCCCTGCTCCCGGGCAGACACACGTGATGAAGCTCCGACCTAGAATCTTCCTGGTAAGCGCACCTAGGGGCACTACACAGATGATTAGAAATGGGCTAAATTAATATGTGAGAATTAGCCTAGAAGAGGCTAGATAGAAATGGGCCAAGCAGTGATTAAATGAATACAGTTTGTGTGTTGTTATTTCGGGCATAAGCTAGCCAGGCAGCCGGGGTGCTGGGAACGCAGCCCCGCCGCCCCTATTACTACATTGATCTGCTTTTAGTGGGGACTTCTCCCATTTTTGTTTTGGGAGATCCAGCCTCAGGACAAGCAGTGGGGAACTTGGGGTTAGTCGACTGGAAAGCAGACATCAAAACATTGGCTGGCAGCTTAGCTGGCAATCAGGGCACCTTGTCTCTGATTTTCAGTATGTCAGTTATTTGAAACTTTTGAACCACTCCAATGAGCAGGGAAGCAGTCATTCCAGAGAAGACCTCCAGCTTTTGAGGGTGGGGTGTGTGTGTGTGTGTGTGTGTGTGTGTGTGTGTGTGTAAGACTATCTGGGGCTTATTGGATGACAAAAGGAAAATTTGGTGTCCTAGCGTTTTCCAGAGCTAGTGAGTCAAAAGGGGTAAAGGAAATTCAGAAAGTTTCTCTCTCTCTCTCTCTCTCTCTCTCTCTCTCTCTCTCTCTCTCTCTCTCTCCCTGTGTGTGTGTGTGTGTGTGTGTGTGTGTGTGTGTGTTATGGAGTTTGTGATTCCCAGTGAAAAAAACATAGACTCAATCCAGTGAGTTAAATTTATTACAACTACTAACAAGACAATAATTTCTGAGCCAAATTTAAGACTGATGCGAGAAAGAGAGTGGGGTGTTTTTAAAGGAGGAAAACACAAGAAGACCTTGAGTATCTGTACCAGCCAAGAGTTGTTGTTCTCCTCACCCAAGATTTGGTAGTCAAGGTGACCTCAGAATAGTTCTCAAATGTCTGCATAAGCAGATTACAGAAGCCAAAGAGCAGTTAATCATAGCATAACAAGTAGATAGTCACAGCTGTATATTTTAGGGTGGGGGAGGGGATCACTGAGTCAAGGTTATTGAAACTTATCTTTCAGGGAAGGGATTCAGAGACAGAGGAGTAGTGGGTACCGGAATGGATGCCCAGCATAAAATGGAATTTTTTTTTTTAAAAAAAAAACTGTCTATGTTGTAACCACTCAAAAAAATACCTTGGTATTCCTCTGGGCCCTGGAGAACCTCAGTAGGCTTAGATAAATTAGTGGGGTTTTGAGCTGTGCCCAGAATTCCAGTCATAAGTCACTGGTAAAAGTTTCCAGGCCCTGGGAACAGCAGAACGAATTGGGGAGCTGCCTCAGCACCTATACCGATGACTGAGGTAAAAAAAAAAAATGCCTTTTTGCCTCTACTTTAATATGTTACCTTTCCTCTGGAGTAAATACAATCAGGAGTTGCTGGCAATCACCCCAGGGTGCATAATGGCTGTGGAGAACAAATTTCAAGAGGGCAGTTAGGATTTAGGGTTTGTCAGAAAAGGAGAAGGTTCTGTTGTCCAGTTATGCAAATCTGAAGTAGAGAAAGGGACAGAGACTAAGAAAGAGTGGTGCCCTTCCCCAAAGTTTCTGCCTTCACCTCCAGGAAGAAGTGGGCCTCCTGCAAGGGAAAGACAAAGGCTGGGATCTGACTCAAATCTGGAGAATGGCAGACCTTCAAGAAGGATGCCAAACTGGTTAAGGAAGTGCAGAGAATGGGGGGAAACTGGATGTCTCCTCAGGAGGCAATGTGATGGTCACAAAGTGAAGGAGGGGGCAACAGGGGTTATAGCTCCAGAAGGGGTAGTGGGGAAGTAGGAATGGGGGTAGAGATGGATAAAGTAGGGCAGGACAGAATACACTAGCTTGACGTTGGGGGAAGAGGAATGAATTTGGAGCAGATAGGTCAGATGAAGGGGAGAGAGATGAACATGAGTTGTGGGATTGGGGGAGAAAAACCAACAGAGGATCTCAGGACAGACAGCAGGATGCAGGTGACAGGAAACATTTTAGAAAGCAAAACAATAGGATAATCCCTAAAGTGCAAACCTTCAGACAGCTGGGTGGGTATTGAACAAGTTTCAACCATTGACCAATATAGATCAGGGTGCCCTGGGGATCCTGTGCTTTGAGCCAGACTGATTTCACAAAATGATTCAGTGGACCAATGGATGGTCCTCTTCATAGGAGGGTCAGCCAATCTCACAAGAAGTGAACAGCTTTTCCTTTGAGAGTGAACCCTCATAGTTTTCTCCAGATCCTTGGGAGCAATTTTTTTTACCATACATTGAGGGGTGAGAGTTTGAATTTTGTAGTCCCCATATTAGAAGAGAATTTATGTGACTCAGAGAAATAGAAGACTAATAGCTTGCCAGAAGCACTGACAATGAAGAGACGGCAAACCCAAGTTAGACTTGTCAGAGGGCCCCTCTGCCTTGAGAGCAAGCGAGAAGCCAAGTCAGAGCGGGCAACTCCAGGAGCAGTTGAGTATGACGAGATTTCCCATATAGGCGGGGAAAAGAATCAATTGTGGAGTTTGCAGACAAAAAGACAAAGCAAATGACCAGTCTGCTGGTATGGACAGTGTCAGAGGCCCTTGCAGGAACTGTAGAGGTTCCAAGGACCGTGGTGCAGATGAAGAAAGGGCACTAGCCCCTGTAGTAAATAAGGCAGAATTTAATCTTGGAGCCCTTGGACAAGTTTGTTAGGCCCTGAGACATGTGTGTGTGTGTGTGTGTGTGTGTGTGTGTGTGTGTGTGTGTGTGTGTGTGTGTGTATACGTGTATATATATGTATACATATATACATACATACATACATACACAGGACCCAGAAACCCCTTTGGCAGATATGAAAGGTGTCATGTCCTCTTGAGGGCAGCTGTCCCCCCGGGGAGGTCCTGCTCCCACATGAAAGTGTCTAAGCCTCAAGTGTGCATGGCTCCTTGACCAGAACCCCTTGGAGGTGGCAGGCTTCTATAAGGGCCCTGGTTAGTTAGATGCGCATCTAGCACCCAGTGCGTAGATGTACAATGCCTGGTAGCCTCTGGAGAAGGAGAAGAAAGATAATTTTTTATAAATTTAACTTTTGTTGACTTTTTTGCAGATTTTACATCATGCATCCCAATCTCACCTATCTCTCCATCCCTGCCACATCTGCCTTCCACCCTTGCAATCTCCCCCCTAAACAAAACAAACTTTAAAAGAAAAACCAAAACTCAAAGAAAACTACAAACAAAGCAAAACAAAACAAACAAAAAAGGAGAAGAATCTAGTCACGGAAGCTGAAGCATAGCATGGTGAGTCACACATTTCAGCCTTTCATCTTTCCAGCTTCACTCGCAAGTACTCATTGCCGTGAGTCACTGGTCGGGTTTAAGGTCTCTTCTTACTGCCACACCATTGATTAAGGGAATCTCACCGGTGCTCCTCTTGGATATTCTCTTGTCCTGTGTGGTGGGGATCCTGCAGTTTTGGACCTGTAGGTTTGTCCCCTTCTCGTGCTCCAACAGTTCGTAGATGAGGTGGATGTTGGGGTGGTTCAACTCATAGCCCTGGTTCTGGGCCTGGGTTGGTCAGCCCGCCCAGCTTTTCCCCACCTTGACCACCAAGTCAAACTCTCCAGCACTGCCTCAGTCAACCCATCCATGGCAGCCTGCAGCAAGGAGCAGCACCGGGGTCTGGCTCATTCACACTCATACCACAAGGACCAGATCTACTGCCTTGTCAAGCCAAAGTACAGGGCCCTCTCTCCCACGTAGCAGACAAGGAGGGGTAGGGTCAACTCCCCTGCTCTCATACCCTTGCCCAGCTCACCTGTGCCCCCACCAGCATGGTCAGCTTTAGGGTGCTGTCCAGGCAGGGTGTATGGCCCCCTCTCCTATGTGCTGCAGTCAGTGAGGGATAGGGCTAGTTCTCCCAGTCCTGTGACCCCAGGGCCAGCTCTCTCACCCACCACAGGTAGCAAGGGATAGAGGTGGGGGACGTCTTTCTCACCCAATCTGCCACATGAGAGATCGTGGGCAGGGCCATCTCTGCTGCTCTTGTGTAACATGGAGGCTGGCTTGTTTGTTTGTTGGGGTTTCTGTCCGCCCAGTACCCCACAACTGTTTAGTCCCAAAGGAAATCACACATAGGTCTCCATAAATTATAAGCTGATTGGCCCATTAGCTCTAGCCTCTTGCTGCAGCCAGCGCAGCCTAGATGCCAAGACTGGTGGGGAGTGCCGGGATTGAGACACAGAGGCTTCTTTTTTGGTGGAAGAACAGCAACCTTTATTTTGCCCAGCAACCTTTTATACCTCTACTCCTGTGGAGACCCACCGGCCAGAAAGAACACAAACATCCTTACACAAACATTACAGACCACAAGGAAGTTCTGCTGTCAGAGGGAGTGAGGGCAGCTGGATCATAACAACTCCCCCCATTTTATTTTATAATACCTTGTGTGTCATGGGGAATAGCCCTCTAATATCCCCTGTCTTAGGTGGCATCCTGCCCCCATAGTATTGACTGTCTGTGGCTACCCAGACACATAGCCCTAAACCAAGTATCCCCAGGACTGACAGTGCCAAGGAGCCAGACCAGCACTGCAACCATCTAGCATGCACTAAGTGGGTGGTAAAATTAACAAAAGCAGTATTCCAAATCCCTCTCATATGATGGTTGAGTTCCATAACAGTAGCAGAAGCATGCAAAAGCATGCAATAATACAGTGCCATGAGTAACACACATAACATGATTAACTGTTGAAAAGTCCAAAGATAGTCCACTTGCTCCTGAACCAGAGCTACTTGTTGGTTCAAGGTCAATATGCCTAATTGAATATGTGCAAAGCATTGCTGACTCTTTTCAGCAAGCTGGTTGACAGTCTCAGCCGTCTGCACAGTCTGTGAGAGAGCAAGTCCGGCAGCAGTAGCTGTGGTGGCAAAGCTCTGCTCCAGCTGCCTTCTGGCCCCAGCCACACTCACTCTGGATCCAAACTGCTGCATGGAGTGGAGCAAAACTCAGAGAAGCAGGCTCGCTGCTCCTGCTCCAGACCACGTGGGTCTTTAATGTGCTAAGGAATATGGAGAAGTTTTTTTTGCCACAACTCTATGGCGTTTTAAGGTCCTTGCCAGGAAGCAAGTTGCAACAATGTATCCATAGCTCCATAGTCCGGACTGCCCGCTTTAAAGAGTCAGAGTTTTCCCTAGCAGGAAGGCCCAGAAAGCCGGCATATCCCAGCACTCGGGAGGCAGAGGCAGGTGGATCTCTGTGAGTTCGAGGCCAGCCTGGTCTACAAGAGCTAGTTCCAGGATAGGCTCCAAAACCACAGAGAAACCCTGTCTTGAAAAACCAAATAAATAAATAAATAAATAAATAAAACAGCAGCTTTTTTCCTGCTACGGCTGAAAGCCGAAATGTTTTACTCTAGTCTTTCCCAAGCTTTCTCAGGCTTTCTGTGGATGCAGTTATCCACGTGGGTGCCATTCTGTAACATGAGGGGCTGGGCCTGCTTGTTGTTGGGATTTCTGTCCTGCCTGGTACCCCACAACTGTTTAGCCCCAAAGAAAATCACACATAGGTCTCCATAAATTATAAGCTGATTGGCCCATTAGCTCTAGCCTCTCACTGGCTAACTCTCACATCTTGATTAACCCATTTTTCTGACCTATGTTAGCTATGTGGCTCAGTACCTTTTTTCAGTGGGGCAGATCACATCCTGCTGCTTTGGTGGTCTGGGCAGGAGAGGAAGGAATCAGTTTCCTCCTTCCCAGAATTCTCCTGTTCTCATTACATCATTTCCACTTCCTGTCTGGTTTTCCCACCTATACTTCCTGCCTGGCCAATCAGCGTTTATTTAAAACATGATTGACAGAATAGACAATTCTCCCACACCACTCTTGACCTCAGGGCCAGCTCCCCTGTGTGTTCCAACAATAGCCCAGGTGAGGTACACACCCCGTAGTGAGGGATGGTTCCATCTTGCCAGAGTGCAGTGGCTAGCTCTCCTGCTGCAGTGTCCAGTAGGGGGAGGGCATGAAAGGCCAGTTATGCCAGGGCCAGTGAGGGGTGCAGCCAGATCACTGTGGCCCTTGGATTTCAACATGCCTGGTTCCCAATATTTCAATGGCAACAAGGGCCATGGACATCAACATAGACTCCAGCTGCAGCAGGAATATGAAACCAGGCATGGCTCTCTGCAGCAGCTCTGGCCGACATCATCATGGACCTGGTGGCAGCACAGGCCTTCTAGATCAGTGAGGCCATGGCAGCAGCATGGCCCTCAGATACCAACATGGTCCCAGGTGGCTGACCAGACAGACCCTGAGCATCTGCAGAGCCCTTGGTGGTAACAGGAGCCACGGACATCACCCCACATCCCAATTACTACAGCACAGGCCCCTGGATCAGTATGGTCCCTGGAGTGGCATAGCCCTCAGACACCAGCATGGTCTTAGGTGGCTGACCAGATCTTGGGTGTCTGCTCAGCCCATGGTGGTAACAGAATCCATGAACATCAATACATACCCTGGCTGGTGTAGGACCGTGGGCTCAGATATGGCCCTCAGTAGTGCAGCCCTGGGCCAGAGGACACCATGGCCCTGGTAACAGTGCAGGCCACTCATATCAGCATGGTTCTGGCAGTGTCACGGCACTTGAACTGCCACATGGCCACAGGTTGCAGTTTAGACCCCTGGCATCCCTGTACACTGCCCAGGGTTTCTAGTCCTGCAGTGGTGTTGCAAGGAGAGGCGGTTTGTTTGTCCCAGCTGCTTGGCTAGCTTAGCACTGAAATAAGCACATAGAAACTGTATTAATTTAAACACTGCCTGGCCCATTGGCTCTAACCTCTTATTGGCTAACTCTTACATCTGAATTTGACCCATTTCTATCAATCTGTATAGCACCATGAGGTTGTGGCCTACCAGAAAAGTTTCAACATTATCTTCCTCTGGCTGCAGATCTATGGCATCTCTCTGACTCTGCTCTCTTACTCCCAGAATTCAGTTGTCTTCTCTGCCTACCTAAGTTCTGCCCTATCAGCTAGGCCAAGGCAGTTTCTTTATTCATCAACCAATGAAAGTAACATATAGACAGAAGGACCTCCTACACCAAGGCAGCAAGAAGATAACAGTAAGAGTTCTGGGCCATGCCATGTGGCTGGCAGGGAAGAGGGGAGGCACAGGACTTAACCAAGTGCTGCCTGGAGTTTCTAGCCTAGGGCCTGCAAGAGGGGAAGATCTTAAGGCCCATACGGAGTCATGGCCCTTCTAAGGGACCCTGGCAGAGAGGAGTTGTGAAGTAATAGAGAGTCCTGCTCAGATGTGGAGGACATGATGTCCCATAGTACTTGTGCAGAGGTCTTATCTCCCCTTTGGGCTTACAGTTTCAGAGGTTTAGTCCATTATCATCAGGTGGAACAAGGTGGCATGCAGATAGACGCGGTGCTAGAGAGGGAGCTGAGAGTTCTAGATCTTGAATCACAAGCAGCAGACATACTTTCTCCAAGGCCATACTTACTCCCACAAGGCCACACCTCCTAAGCATGCCACTCCCTATGAGATTAGGGGGCCAATTACATTCAAACCACAAACACCAGCAACAAAATCAAGAAAATCAATTACATAACCTCCTCGGCCAAACTCGCCCAGTATGCGTTCCATCACTCACACAGTTGGCTGGCCGCCCTTTCAAAGAAAACTGCAACCAGATCTCTCATGAGAGGCAGAACCAGAAAACTGGATCTCTGCTACTAGAGTCCCAAATTAGCATTGGAAAGACTGGGGCAAGGTCCTCATCAGGCAAATCCTCCATTCAGGAAAGGGTCTCCCCCAAAAGTTTTACCCCTCTTATCCAGAAGAAGGCTCTCCAGAAAGGGCCTATCCTTAGTTAGAAGGATCCTCATTGGACTTGCCATCCTCAACCAGAGCCAGAACTGAATTGAGTATACAGACTTAGGAGTGGAGAAGGACTCTAGTCATTTTAGTGCCCAGGAACATAGCAGTCATTCTGGACCTCTATGAACTCAGGGAGAGAAGTGGGGCCCCAGACTATTTGTCAGGGGCTACCTCCCCTGAAATATCTCCTTGGTCAGGAAGGCCCAGACCAAGACTGAGTCCCATGAGGCATGGGGGGGGGGATCTTGCTGAGGCCCTCCAAATGAAAGGAACTACTTACGATAGTTGCCAACCATCACGCTAATTAAGTCAAGTAAGATTATAAGAACCCTTCAATAATGGCCAGACCGAGAGTAGGCTAATGCATTTGTTACTATAGTGTGTGTTTTCCTCCATCTTTTTGTTTTACGGCTCTGGGATTATTTATTTCTCGGGTGTTTTCTCAGGTGTGGTTGACCTCCTCCGACTAAAGTTTTTCTTTTAGTACCTTCTGCAATTATAAATTTATAGATAGATAATGTTTACAGATTTTACTGTGGAATGTTTTTCTTTCTATTGTGATTAAAGTTTTGCTACAGTATAGTAGTTTAGGCTAGCCGTTTTGGTCTCTCGGAGTTTGTAGAACACCTGTCCTGGCCCTTCTGACTTTTGGAGTCTCCACTTTTGGAGTCAAATACCGTCCCAATGGGTCTTTCTTCATATGTTACTTGGATTTTGTTCACTTACAACTTTCAATATTCTTTCTTCATTCTGTGCAGTTAGTGTGTTGGTTATTGTGTAAAATGGGAAATTTCTTTTCTGACCCTATCTATTTGGTGTTCTATATGCTTCTTGTACCTTGATAAGCACCTCATTTAGGTTTGGGAAATTTTCTTCTTTGGTTTTATTGAAGATAGTTTTTTTTGCTTCTGACTTGGATTGTAAGCCCCTCAAGGCACGTGAGTGTCCACACCCCTGCCCCTGAGGACCTCCAACTGCCACCAGGTTCCACTAACGGAACACTCTGAGTCTGAGGAAGTTACCACTGAGTATCTGGCACCCCTCTATTACTCTTGGAGACAGAAGTACCCCAATCATGGTCTTTAAGGCTAGAGCTGACCTGTTTCCCCTGACCCCATCCCCCCACCCTTGGAGCTGCAATTGCCCTTTTCTCTGCCCTCCCACCTATTCCATTCTCTAGCCCTTTCCTATTGATGTGACCCTTCCTCTAGACCTCGCTTTTCATTCTTACCTTTTGGCCTCCACAGAAGCCCTGGTTCCAGGCACTGAGTCCTTCCTCTGACTTAGCCAGGCTAAGTCCCTGACCCCATTGAGTGTGGTAATGACCCTCTTAGGCTTGGTCCTTGCTCAGTCCTCCTTGAGTCCTGGAGATGCCCACAACTACAGGCTGCAGTGACGTTTTCCTTTCCCTCTCTCATCTATGGGAACATGTCTTCCATACCCTCTCATTCTCCCTTAGGATACCTTATAGATAAACCCAGCCTCTCCACCTGACATCCGACCTGAAGGGCCCTAAATTTATTATCTTTTGCAATCAAATTTGGCCTCAATACCCCTTAGATACTCAATCCAAAGGCCCACCTCAGGAAACCCTAGTTCCTAATATTATTTGGAGCCTTTACAAATACTGTGAATGGGAAAGTGGAAGACATTCCCCGTTCCCTATTTCTCTTGTCTCTGCTCCAAACCCTGTTTGGTTTTGTCTGGTCTCTCCCACCTGCCAGGGTGTAAACACCTTATCTTTTCAGCTCCCATAGATGGATCTGTAAGTTTGTTACAAAGCGGGAGCTGTGAGCCAGACCTATCCCAAGGGAGAGAAAGCATTGAAGTAGGCCAGCTACAAATGCGCACACCCTGAACACACTCTTCACTGTCTGCTGTTTCTCTCAGCTCCCTCCTGCAGCATCCTTTGACTATAGGTAGGACTCCAAAATTTTCTGTCTCTAAGACTTCCTTGTTCTCAGCTCACTAGGTGCAGTTTGACGGGGATTCAGGTGTTGAAGTAATAAGGGCGGCGGCGGGGCTGCGTCCCCAACACCCCAGCCGCCTGCCCGGCTAGCTTATGCCCCGAAATAATTACACGGACACTGTATTCTTTTAAACACTGCTTGGCCCATTCTCTTCTAGGCTAATTCTCACATATTAATTTAGCCCATTTCTAATCATCTGTGTGTAGCACCCCAAGGTGCGCTTACCGGGAAGATTCTAGCCTATGTCCATCCTGGGTAGGACCTTCATCACGTGTGTCTGCCAGGGAGCAGGGCATGGCATCTCTGCTGAGGCGTCTGCTCCGGAGAGCAGAGCTGTGGAGTCTCTGAGCTCACTTCCTCTTCCTCCCAGCGTTCTGTTCTGTTTACTCCTCCCACCTATCCTCTAACCAATAAAATGGGCCAAGGCAGTTCCTTTATTAGCCAATGACCTTCCTCCATCACAGGTGTCTTGTAGGTATGAATGGCATTTTGTTGTTTTATGCTGTCTCTAGTCCAGTTAAAAGCTAGCTCTAGGATTGGAGTATGGCTCCTCCTCCTTTAGACACAAGCAGGTCTGTTTAAAGGTTTCTTCCAAAATCTCTTCTCCATCTTAGGTGAAGCAACTGACTGTGTGACAGAGAAAGAAGAGTAAAACAAAATAAAGGAACAAACTATTCCCAGTGGGTATGATTGCTGCTCATCTCATACTCTTTGGTTTGGTATAACTCTAAAACTTCTGCTAAGGTATAAATCTTATTTCAAGATTTGTAAGACTATTATGTAAACTTTCCACACTTGAAGATTTGTAAGTATATTGAGTATGATGAAAACTCTGTAATATCTGTAACAAAGGGATTAATTTAGAATTCATAATGCTGGGTTGATAGTTAAAAATCTATACATAGAGCTGGATGGTGGTGCCACACACCTTTAACCCCAGCACTCAGGAGGCAGAGGCAGGTAGAACTCTGTGAGTTCGAGGCCAGCCTGATCTACAGATGAAATTCCAGGACAGCCGGGGCTGTTACACAGAGAAACCCTGTCTCAAAAAAAAAAAAAAAACAAAAAACAAAAAACAAAAAAACAAACAAAAAAAACTATACATAGGCAATCTTTTTTAATTATAACTTTTATTGATTCTTTGTGGATTTCACATCCCGCATTCCAATCTCACTGATCTCCCTATCTCTTCAAATCTGCCCTCTGCCCCTGCAACCTCACCCCCAAATCAAAACCAAATTTAAAAAAAAAAAAAACAAAAACCCAAACCAAACGAAGAGAAACAAAACAAAACAAAAACAAAACACACAAAAAAGAATCTTGTGGAAGCTGTAATGTGGTCCACTGAGTCACACAGTTCACCCATTAGTCCATTTATCTTTTCTTGCAAGTATCATTGCCACACATCATTGGTCCAGCTCCAGGCCCCTGGTTTCTGCTATACCACTGATAATGGGCTCTCACTGGGGCTGCTCTTGGATATGCAGTTGTTGCCCTGAGCTGTGGAGATTCTGCTGATTTGGATCTGTAATTTCATCCTTTTCACATGCTATGACAGTTCATAGATCCAGCCTGGATGAAACCATGGCTCCGTGTCCTCCCAGATTGCCTAGATCAGCACTTTTCCAGAAACAGCATGCTCCCCTACCCCAGGCACCAACATGGTTCATGGTAGCTGACCCGACCTCAGGCATCTGCAAGGCCCTCCTCTCCATTGCAACTGGAGCCATAGACACCACCCCAGACACTGGCTGCTGTTAATATGCCCAAAGTTTGGATTCCCAAAATACCACCATGAGACCAAATCTGATGTAAAAACAGTGTTTATTGTGAGTTAACTCGGGCCTCTCCTTCCAAAGAAAAAGAAACAGAAAGAAGGGGGAGAAGAAGAAGGAGGAGGAAGAAGAGGAGGAGGAGGGGAATGAGCCATGGAGCAGTACAGGAAGGGGGGTTTTATAGTGGCCAGGCAAAGAGGGGCATGCTTGGGAAATTCCAAACTTTCATAGCCATAGACTTGGGATTGGCTGCTCCCTATGGGGTGATATCTTTTGGCCAGTTCAGACCCCAGGCATCTATGTGACCTTTGGTGGCAACATAGACCATGGACATCAATAGAGACCCTGACTTGGTAGGACCATGGACCCAGACATGGCAGCAGTATAGGCCTGGATATCATCATGGTCACCGGTGGTAGCACAGGCCACCCAGACTGGCATGACCCCTGAAACAGAGTGGTACTCATATACCAGTGAGGCCCCAGGTGGCACCCCATACCCCCAGAATCAGCATGGTCTTTGATGGTCTCAGGAGTCACAGACATCAACACAGACCCTGGCTGTGGCAGGGTCAAGGACCCAGACATGGCCCTCAGTTGCAGCCACCAAAATCAGGCTGGCCCCAATGGCACAACACTCAGATACCAAATTGGTCACATGTTATGACCCAGACCCTGGGCAACTACATGGCCCCTGGCAGCAACATGGCAGGACCAAGGACCCAGACATGGTTATTGGCAGAAACCTGGGCCAAGCTCTCACCATGGTCTCAGGTGGCTGTATTAGTTACCCAGATTGTCATGGCTCCTCTGAGAAGCACAGCCCTTGAACACCAACATGGCCCAGACTACAGGCTCTGTATGGTCCCCAGCAGTGACAAGAGCCATAGACATCACCACAGGCCTCCTTGGCTGCCCCAGAACCCCAGAACAAGTCCTAGCCCTTGAACTTATTTTAGGCTCAGACATCTCCCTGGACTCAAGTAGTCAACTGGCTATCCACATCAGCCCATTCCTCGCCCCCTTACCTCTCCAGATCCACCATTCTCCCTGTGCATGAACCATTCTGCCACTCCCTCTCTTCTACCTCCCCACTCTGTACTTTCACCACAACACTGCCTGATTGCCCAGCTCCTGGGATCTTGATTGGATCACAGGTAGCGCTTGGCTCATTATTGCCTACACTAGTCACAAGGTATGGTGCAGAGCTGAAGCCTTTCCTTTCTCCTGTGCCTGTACCTAGAGACCTTGGGCAGCACTTGATATGATGGTACACTCTGGCGCTGGCTCCTGGAGGATTTCATTCTGTGTCCTTGTACCTAAGTAATCTTAAAGAAAGCCTGTGACTTGCTGCCATCTTAACTGCTGTCTCCACATCAGAATGGAGGCAGCCATGTGGTTGACAGCTATCTTTGCTAGGGTTGGAAAGGAGGAAATTTTCCATGTGACCTCACTCCGATCTTGATTAAAAGTGATCACTTGGAATAAGCCAACCAAAACAACTCCTCCTATCTGTGAGGCCCAAACCAAATGATTCTTCCACTTCTTTCAATAACACTAACAAGCCTCCCCCTCATCAGCCTCAACCCGCAATCCCTTCTCTCCAGCCTCTATGGTATCCCTATCTCCCACCTCAGTGATAGGCTGCCCACCCAGTCATCGCTGAGGGAGTCCCTGACTAAGACCCTGAATGGAATTACATTATCCCTGGTGGCATCCTTCCTAGGGATCAGTTTGGACCTTGCCTCCTGGCTCTTCTTTACAAGACCACCCTGAAAGTGGTAAATCATGAGAAAATCCAAGAGGTCATCCAGGATAAACATGATAATCCACCTCAATTCTTAGATTGCCTCACATAGGCCCTCTTACAATATACCAGTCAGAATCCTGAGACCCCAGATGGAAAACAATGCCTTATGGTGACCTACCTTTTCTGCCAGTTTCCCTGGTATTAGGACCGAACATATATGTCTGAAGACTCACAGGCACAAGTCTTATCAGTGTCTTTAAGGTGTACCATGGGTGAGATGAAAAAACCTGAGAAAATAAATACCTAAGGCATTTGACCAGCCATAGCAACTACCTAGGCTTCCTAGCCTCCTGAAGTAATAAGGGCAGCGGGACTGCGTCCCCAGCACCCCGGCTGCCCGCTCGGAGGCTAGCTTATGCCCCGAAATAATTACACGGACACTGTATTCTTTTAAACACTGCTTGGCCCTTTATCTTCTAGGCTAATTCTCACATATTAATTTAGCCCATTTCTAATCATCTGTGTGTAGCACCCCAAGGTGCGCTTACCGGGGAGATTCTAGCCTAGTCCATCCTGGGTCAGAGCTTCATCCTGGGAGCGGGGCATGGCGTCTCTCTCTGAGGCGTCTGCTCCCGAGAGAGCTGTGGAGTCTCTGACCTCACTTCCTCTTCCTCCCAGCGTTCTGTTCTGTTTACTCCTCCCACCTATCCTCTAACCAATAAAATGGGCCAGGGCAGTTCCTTTATTAGCCAATGACCTTCCTCCATCAGCCTCCCACAGCCTAAGAACATCAGGTCCCCTATTTTAAATGCAGTCAGGGTGGTCACTGGGCCTGGGCCTCTTTGAACCCTTGTAAAGCACCCAGACCATATCCAAGGTGTCATCAAGAGGAGTATTGGAGTATTGACTGCCCCCATGTCCATTGAGGCATGGGGACATCAACCTATATCTCTTTTCAGCCAGCCTCTTAGATTTGGCCATGGATGACTAAGAGGGCCCTGGGCTCCTTTGGCATGACCACCACCATCTTTGGCCAGGAGCCTTGGATAGACATCATAGTATCAGGTCAATCTATCATCTTTCTTCTGGACACTGGGGCAACCTACCCAGTCCTGATGGAGTTTTAGGGATCCACCACACCTTGTCCCTCTACTGTCAGAACAGGGGTGGGACAGCTTTACCACCTTCACTAAACCACATCAAATATATCACCCAGGCTCAATACACACTCTCTCCACAGCCTCAGGGCACTTAAGCCCTAACTTCTAAGAAAGAATCTTCTGCACACCATTTCTTCCCCCTCTAACACCCCATACTTGTGTTAAAACACACAAACACACACACACACACACACA